AAGTGCTTTTAAAGTCTAAACAGAAGATCCTTGACAGGCTGCCTAGCCTGGTCCTCACAAGCATGGCCCACCAGTCACACCCCAGTTTTGCCGTAGCCTCTTATCTTAGCACGTAAAGGAGGCTTCCGAGTTTCCAAGGTTCGAGTAATTATTTTGGGTTCTTTTCAAAACATCCACAACAAATCACATGTACTCCTTGCATGAGCTGGAATTAGCCTCAGTACAGCTAATCTGTGGGATTCACAGCCGTTCTTTCCTCTCTCAGTCCACCTAGCTGGCTTCTGCCAATGTCTTGTCAGACCAGAGGACACACGCTCACACACACGTGTGCACCGACTCCTGCTTTCTGGCCTTCCATTTCTTCCTGAATTATGTGCTCCTTTGTCTATGTAGAATTAAGGGTACTCTGAATTCTCGTCTATGACTTCTCCCTCAAGAATCCGCAAGGATGGGGCTGTGAAAAGAGAGTGTTTTAAACTTCCGTGAGTTTACATACCTACCAGTAATCCCATAGTTTCACCAAGTTCACACCTCATTCTCTCAACCGGTCTCTTAAGCTGATGGCTACAAATGGCAAGGTAATGTGCACACTCCTTATAGATTTTCCAAAACAAGCATTTATATTTCATTTATATTTTTCTGCTTGGAGGGAAGTATCTAGATCCAGATACATCCGTTTGGTTTCTTTTAATTGCTTATTGCTGTTGGATGTGCATCTATACCCTTTCTTTGATGAGAAGTAAGAGAGACTGTGCTGTATAACACAGATGCTGGTTTTCAAGTTGGGATTAATTCCATATGACTTCCAGGAAATAGAGCTTGAAATGGGAATTCTACTTGTTATTCTGAATGTTGTTTTTTCTTTCCTCAGGCGTTCCAGTATCTCTCCAAGGCATACAAGTGTGATACACAGTCCAGTTGTTGGGAGAAAGATATTACATCATTTAAGGAAGTGGTTCAGCGAGCTGTAAGACTTGCACATGGTATTTGATGTAACGTTTGATGTCCTTGGTGTATTTTAATGTGTTTTCTTGGATAAGAAAAAGTGTTAGTCACAGGAAAGTTTTGTTACTAATAATTTCGGAGTATTTCATTGTATTGAAATTGTTGTATTCATCAAATATCTATAGACCAACTAGTATGTAGTAGGCACTTTCAAGCAATAAAAAATATAGGATAGAGGCTTAAATACGATTTGAATTAGTGACGGTATTAGAAACTTCAGAGATATGAAATACCTTTACACCTGTATTTAACCTTCACTTCACACAGAGTCTATTTGTGTCGATTATGTAGGCTAAAGATATGTTAACTTTTCCTGACTCATATTCTTCTTTTATAAATGAAAATGCTTGTTCATAAAAATACATAGATACCTGAAGTACATAATAATATAAAGAGAGCTGTGGCATATACAAAAGAAATTAAAAATATAATCTAATCCCTATCTTTGGGAAATTTAGTGGGTGATATTTGAGGCATGGGTAACCATACATATAAAGTTGTATGCCACTTGGGTAAGTAAATTCCAGATAAAGGCTGCTTTTAATTATTTGCATTAATGAAAAATATACCAGTTAACTTTAGTAATGCATTTTCACATTTATATTTGAATATGAGTGCATGATGCCCTGAGGTTGCAGTTCGAATAAAATAACGAAGCCACGACGTTAAGTACTGAGTCACAGGAACTGTGGACTCATTCTCAAGTCCTCCTCTAAATTCTTCCGCAGCAAATAGTTCCAGCAAATAGGGAGCCCACGGGGGACAATGAACAGGTCAGAGCTCTGGACAGGGAGACCTAAGCCCCAGGACCAGTGCTACCACGCACTTGCTCTGTGACTTGGGGTAAATTACTTAACTTCCCTGAGCCTTAGCTCTCTCGTTAGTAAAATAGGGATGCACCTACCTGTTGTAGTTCTGAAGAGTAAATGAAAACAAATATAAATGAAAACAAATTTAAAAATATAATATTTTTAAAATGCTTAACAGTGTCTTAGGCATGGTTTAAATGTCATTCCCTTGCTTCTTGCCCTGACCCTGTTCCCTCTGGGGTAGAAGATCTGAGCTGTATGATCAGGGACTCAAAACCGAAAAGAGAAAAATGAAGAACAAGAATAAAGCTTAACTTGCAAAAAAAGTAACAATATTCAAACAAGTTAGAAATGGGCTTAGGGTTAATAATTCTACTTATGGCCTTTGAGATCGTTGATAAACAAAATATATAAATATCCAATTTCCCGGGCCACTTACTCCTTGACAGACAAGGTGCTGAATTCAATATAGCTGAAATTCACTGTGTAAAAGTTTGAAGTAATTGCTGATAGACCAGCGAGAGGATGGTCTGAAGTAGCCGGAATTTATGTGGCTTGTGCCAGCCTCGTGGTGACTGGGCCCAGATGGAGTTCAGTCTTTATGTCTTTGGCCTTGGTGAATATAGTACTGTATTTGGGGAAACCCATGCTAAGGTATATTATGTACATAATTATACTAAGATATGATTTTCTGGGGAGAATTTATCTTATCTACTTCAACCTGCCAACCCTAAACATTTCTGTGAACAACTGACTATCTAACATTCAAAGCCAAGATTTCTGTTATCACTAAGTGATGTTATTAAACCTGTCAGATATAAATTTGCAGGTTAAGAAGTACTCCAGGAAAAATCTTCATTGTGCATCTTAAAGTTGATTTTAAACTATTTTTGGCACTGCGTTTCTATCAGGGCAATACTTGGGGAACAAACAGGTGTCTATTCTTTTAACTTCTCCTTTGACTTCAATGAATCATGTGTTGGTGTTCCTACAACATTATAAGCATATCTGAGTGGATACTTAGCTTTAGTTTCCAGTGATATTTTAGATTTATAAAGATAAATCTTAACCTTTTCTTCAGTTGCTTTTGCATACCAGTGTTTAGGGGAAGAATGAGCTGGGTCACTTTCTCTGTTCCTCTGTGTTCTTTTTTACCTTTCTTCCCAACAACTGTTCTCTACTCCACCCAATTCTGAAAAGGAAATATAACATAAAAAATATCTCCATGTGATCTACTCACTATTGGATTGCTATTTTTAAGAGTGTACTTCAGAAAGCTCAATAAGACGTTATAATCTCTACATATTGTTTGAGACCTTTCCATAACAATGTTGTCATTCTGTACCCATTTGTATTATCTGGAGGGTACTCATTTACAGGCTTAGCTATTCTGTTTTCTGGGAAAGGATGGGCAAAGTTCATTCTTTCTTCACCATCCAGGAACTTTTAAAATAATAGTTATGCATTTTAACTACAATCTGCCTGGAGGAAGCACTGCTCTCTGGGAATTTCCTGATGATTTGAAACAGGTTATCTCTCTCTCATTCATTGTCTTATCTGTCTGTCTGTCTGTCTATCTCAGTTTCAAGTGCCTTTTGGACATGGAATTGAGGAGGGGGACTAATAGAGTGTGTTTGTCTTTTTGCTCTAATTTTGTTTTCCTCAGAATGAAAATAAAGAATTGAAAAAAGAATCACAGCTGTTTCTGATATAAGTTACTAGATATTAAATAGCCCAGTACCTCAGCCATGGTAGTTACAACTTCACTCTACTAAGGGGCACAGACATCATAATCCTCACTGTGCCTTTTGAAAATGAGTTTAACATGTTGATTAGCATGGCTTCTTTCAACCCTTAGCTGAGAAATATCAGACTAATTATTACTTTAAGGTATGAATGTCAAACCTAGTTCTCGCCAGTCATGGAAGATATTACTAATTGATGACAAAACTATTTTTTCAGGCACAGACAACCGCCAGCAGTTACTTCGAGTTTCCATGCAAAAAAGAAATCTATTTTCTATCCCTGGTCTAAGATCCAGGATATTAAGTAGACTTTAATTGTTGTAGTCTGTAGTGTAGTCTTAAAATGTGATCTGGTTATTGTTCTGTTTGTAGTGAGCATGATTTAGAGGAACAAAAACAGGAACAAATCGGTGGAGAAATATCAGGTGTTATATTTTTGCCAAGTTCTTTGCTTGTTCTTGTAAAGCGTTAGTAGGTGGGCCTTTGGCCAGGGATGGTTATGCCCTCTTCATAATTTAAAATTTTAGGAAAATGGGCTCCCAAAATGCTGCAGGCAGACTCTTTGGAGATGAGTGACTTCATTCTCCCCTACCCGCTGCTGATGCCAAGCCTGGCTCCGCAACCCGGGAGCCTGGTTGTGGTCACGTGCCCTCAGTGCAGGCACCGAGGTTGTTGACATCAGCTCTTCCAGATGATGGTACAAACCCTGAGAATGAAAATGCAGTAAGAACTGAGCCGTAAACATCTGTCATGTCACTTCCTTGAGCTAGTGTCATCAGCAGTTGTGAGCCCTCGCGAGGGACCCAGCACCTTGGGAAGCCACACTGGGATGTGCTGCTTCTGTGTTTGCCTTCTGGGGGCACTTTGCGTTCAGTCAGATTTTATCTCTTTTTACCTAATTTCATTAGTTTGTGGGGGGTGTGGAGGATGTTTCTTCCCAATGATCCATAAATCACCAAAAAAAATCACCTGTTTTCCTCAAAATTTTCTCTTTAGCAATAAATTATCCTTCTTAAAGAAGAATAAAGGGGAGAATTATGCACATAATTATTATTCTTTTTCCAAAATAAAATCTTTCCATGGAGAAATATTTCTAAAGTCTTAATAAAATAATTGTTTCTTTTTTGTACCGTGAATTATCGTTACCAAGTTTTATGGATGTTTTCCCCATATTTATCTTCCAGTGGCTATGAAATGCAGTAAAAACAAATCTAAGCCCCAAGAAGCTGTTCAGGTGCTTTCTTCAGTTCGACTCAATCTACAGGGCTTGTTATCTAAAGCAAAGGTGAGAGTGAAATGTGAATTAATTAGAATCGGCATATGGAAAAAAGTCTTTAGTACCAGCTAACTGCTCTTAAATCTTTTACTTCGGGGTAATTTTAGGCCCATATTGCATTTTAGATATTAGCCCCCGCCTTCCCGATTACTTGCACTAATGAGGGTATTATTGGCCAAATGGCCAGACCACCCTAAATGTGTGTAACTTAAGTCTTAGAAATTAATATTTACAGTCCAGTCCTTAGTACTTTCTTTAAATTAAATGAAAACAATGCTCTTCTCTTTATTATCACTTTCCCCAAACTGTGGCATTTATGCCACTGGTAGCACTTGGGTAAACTTTCAATTTTCATATCTATTTCAAAGCATGTTTGAAAAAGTATAACTAGCATATCAAATCTACACTTTCATAAATATTATTGCTAATTTTTTGTTTATGGTAGTGATGAAATTTCACCTTAAAAAGACTTTTATGATGTAAAAAAAATGATTTAGAGAGAAAATATTAAGTAGGTTGTTTGGATTTGACAAAAATGGTGAAGGTAGATGGGTGACTCAGGTTTGACGACAGAAAACATGAACCAGCCAGTTGCACATACAGACCTGTGGACCAGTGCTGGGGTGGGAATGCCTGCGAGGGTCCAGGGAGCTTTTTGAAGACTGGATTCCTGGGCTCAGCAGGCAGCTCCTTGGAGCAGTCTCGGTATTTCAGCTGTGGTAGCATGTTCAGTTGAGTATGTTGCAATATGCCCCCCAGGCAATTCCTGTTACAAAAGGAGGGCTCATTTATATTTATTTTATTTTGTCGGGCTTTTTTGCTGTTACCAAGTCTTGATGATCTTTGTGGCTCTGAGTCCTAAGCCATAATTAATTTTCAAATAATTGACATAAAGGGTCTGATTTATATGATCTCGAATATAAAATATATTCGTTTTGCTTGTATATGCAGTGAATAGATTTGTTTTATTTGGATGAATAATATCCATTCATCCAAAAACCATCCTATGACATTGAAATGAATAATTGGTATTCAAGGCAACAATTTTGAAGAGCAGAGCTCATTCGAAATTCAGGCATATTATTTGATTCATCCTTTAATTGTTGCAGCTTGTACCTTTCCAGGATGATGAACAGAACCAATACTGCCATTGCTACTATAATGTTATGGCATTATTATGCAAAGGGAATTTTAATTCTATACTCTGTCTCTATATTATTGTAAAGAGATTTTTATTGTTTCTGATGCTTCTGCTTTGTTCTTTATGTTGCAGCAACTATTTACAGATGTGACAAGTGGAGAAATTTCTAGGGAGTTAGCTGATGAAATGGCAGCTATGGAAGCCTTAGTAATAGAGCTCCAAGACCTGAGCAACCAATTTCGAAATCAGTATTGACCGTCCTGGGAGCAGTTTCTGGAAAAGGTGCTCTCGCCTTCTGGAATTTCTCTGTACCTGTGTATCAGAAACACTCGATACTGATTTTTTAAAATAAATTTTTCTTTAATGGCTAACGTCGTTTTTTGTGATTTTTTCCAAATGTTTGAACTTCCTGAAATACGTTAAATAAAAACTTCTCTATTTCTTTAGGATTAGTCAAATTTAATATTTTTATTATTCTTGAGGTATTTCAGCAAAAAGAGCAAAAAAGTTATAGTTCTCTTTTTAGCATAGGGTTTATTCTCTCTCAGCCTAAAATGAATTAGATCATTCTTTAGAAGAACTTAGTCTAAACAGGATAAAAATTCACACTACAAGTTTGTGGCATCGTTAGATTGGCTGCTTTTATCCAAAAGTGATAAAAGAGTAGATTTGATGATGGAAACCTTTTCACTTCTTGAGATTTTGGTATTTGTGTCAGAAAAGTACAGTCTTGGCTAAATTAGAAGTGTGGGCATGGTTTAACTTCTAAATCAAGAAAATGCAAGACAAAAATGACATAATCCAAATTTTGTCTCAAGCATTAGCCACTAGTAACCAGGCTGACCCCCTCGTCGTGTGTACTGCCAGCCCCAAGATGCTTGTTTAATAAGGTTGTTATGGGTGAAGACAGCTATAAACGGTGCCATATTACAAAAATGCAAAAGTAAAATGCTTTCTTAGTAATGTCTATGGAAACAAATGTCGAAGGCAGCAGCTGAGCTTAATAATCTTACTAGAAAAGTCATAGTGAGGAATTCTAAGTCCTGGCTTTGGTTGCTGAATTTTGGGTTCCATGCATAAGTTATTTGACCCTTGCTTTTTTCCGTGTTCTTATTTATACAATGTGAATAATTTCTATTCCTTGTTTCTTTGTGAGTTTCAACTGCCTTTGGAAATTTAAAAATACATAATCCATAAATATAAGTATTCTGAACATTAAAAAAAGTCTAAAAACTTTCATCAACAAATTTCTGTTATGAATACTTATCAATGCTTCCATTCCTTAACCACCTGCTTCTCATTTCTATTATCATACTAGCCTAAAAAATGTTGATGTATGCCCCAAAGCAGTTTCTCTTACAGGAGACACAATAACTATGAGAAAGACAAGTAAAATGAAGCAGCATGAGTTAATATTAAATGTCCACTCAAATATTTTATGGAATCCATGGGGTAACAGGTGGGTGGTTGGATGGATGGATGGACTGATGGATGGTTAGAGTGAGGTTTTAAGATTACCTCTTTATCAATACCTACCTGTGAACCCCAATAAAAAACTAATAGATACTGAAAAGTGCTAAGATTTCGGAAATCAAGTGATTGAAGAAGAGTTTCCAAGTTTTAGAAGGTTTTAGTTCTCAATTCTCTTTTAGGTTCAAGGTGCAAAGGCATCAGGGAGTGTGAGTTTTCACAAACCAAGTCACAAAAGGATGTTCCCCTTCCGGTTCTGTTCTCAGATGCTATGCTGGACCAAAGTCTCCTGGATGCTTCTCTATACCCTCTTTTATCTTGGAATGATCTCACAAAGGAGGGAGCTATTAGATGTCTTCTTTTTAAGACATAGACCTATTAGTTATGTTTAATAATCTTACCTATGTGAATATTTCACATAATTTATGAAAATGTGTAGTAAAGTAGGAAAAGGTTGGGTTTTATCAAAACCTCATCTCTGCTAACTCCTAACACTTAATACTTAATATTCAGATAACTTGATTTCTTTATCTGTAAAATGAGTGTGGTGATAATAGTACTTTCCATCATGTTCTTAATGCCTCTTATTAGCACTTTCTCCCAGCTGCAGAGCCAGTAACAGTATCTGTTTTGACAGTTATATTTTATTTACTCTAGGGTCTTTAATACTTCACATTGCTATATAATGATTTAAATATTTGTTATTTCCAAATGCCTTATCTTTTTTAAATTTTAACTTTGGTTTTCTAGTATTAATACTTTTGTTTTGGTTCATCAACTAGAAAAATATAAAAGATGAGATCCTTTAATCTTTATTGTGTTCCCACAGCATGATAATAATGCTAATAGCTACCAGTTATTGAGTTCTCACTATGCACTGGGTAGGTTTGTGATATCACCAGGAAACTACAGATCACAAACTCTACATAGAGAAATAGCCAGAATTCAAAGACTGCTAAAGACTACATTCCTTCTACTTGCTATGTTGGGCCTAGAAAAAGCTATTAATGGTCAGTCTTCTCTTTCTAACAATGGGACACATGCAAAGTTTGCCTGTCATTGTTTATAAAGTTCTTCAAGGAGAGAAACTCTGTGAGGTCTCAGTTAATAATAGCCTGTGGTCTGTTAAGATTATTTACTCTTTTTTTAAAAAAAATTTAATAAATTTTTTGCTGGTCTTTTTTTCAAAGAAGCAGCATAGCAAATGGTGACCCTAACTGCAGAGGAGTTGAAATAAACCCCAGTGGATAAGAAATTCCTTCTCTACGCCCAAACTTAAACTTCAGGAAGCTTAGAGAGTTGGTGCTAAGTCTGGAAAGCAGAGCTATGGAGTGTGTGTCAAGGGCTGGCGAATAGAGTTGGGGGGGCGGTTTTCAGAACTACAGAATCCTGAAATGGATTTTGAAATTCTGATTGAGGGCTGAAGAGGTTGGCCTTACCTCAAATGGAGCCTCAGTCTGGTAAGAGGACCCGAAACATTGGAAGCATTGACTGATTGTGTATCAAGGCTCTTCTCTTCGTGCTCTTAGTGTGCTATTCATAAGTAGAAATGTGAAGAAATGATACCCAATATGTGTAGTAAATTCGCCTACTTTCTAGACTGCATTCAAAGATTGTGCATAGCAGAAGTATGGCTAGTGTGGGCTATTCGTGACCATTTTTCCAAATTATAGTAAATCTACTAGGTTAACACCCTGGGTGAGTCTGAATAAAAGTGTTCTTTTTTTTCCATTTCTGTTTTTATAACATCCACATCAATCTACATCACTGTTTAGATAAGGTAACTCTACTTTACTGGCCAAGAGTGAGGAATAAAACCTGTTAAGTGGATGCAACACACTTCCTTTCTGCCTGTTCATTCCACAGGCCTTATAGTGAAATGGCAAAGAGCCTTTATTCCAATGGTGGGCGCCATGCTGTGGTGATACAGATGGATTTTTCACAACGTGCAGAAAGTGCTTATAAATAGATAGGTTTCAATCAACAAGTAGCTTATTCAGGCATGTGCTCAAATATAGTAGCTGCATTCATTAGACAGACATTTCTACTAATCCCAAGACTATACTAATAAAAGAGTAATCCCTTATGGGCCAAAGGTAGTGCTGGCTCGCTGTTAACTCTTGTGGAGTCTTTCACAGACCAAGGCCTAAGAATAATTGTAGCTACATTAGGTTTCACCAAGTGAACTATAAAGCTGAGCTTATCTTGAAATTTTTTATTTTCTTATTTTTTTAAATTGCAGTAGTTTAGTGGACAAAGAAGCACTTTTTACTCTGGATACGCAGCTTGCCACTAAGCCAATTTAGAGATCAATTATGTGTGCATTTGTGTGTGTGCTTGTGTGTTATGTGTGTGTGTTCTCGTTTTATCATAATGCACCTTCTCTTTCCCCCTGGTTAATAAAGTGGTTAATAAAGAGTTCATTAGAGCAGATTTTGTTTTTTTCTCTGACTTGAGAATAAGTTGTCAATTTTGAGAAGGTCTTGCAAACTCTTAGTGGAGGGGTTAGACTTTTTACGTGGCCCTGTCCTTGAGCTTGGCTTTGCTCTGCAAGGTCTTTACCCTTCCCACATGATTCAGCTGTAATTAGTTGGCTTAGCACAACACAGATTTTTCCCTTGCCGGTGGTGTCAGATCTGTTTTCCTTTTTATTATTCTGACTTCTTATGAACTGCAGGACCTGTGAGTCAACCACACCATCTCTTGGCCCTGGCCAACATTGTGATCTGTGAAAAGGGACTCCTGCCCAGGACTGGAAGGTGGAAAACTTATGTGATTAAAGTGGTCTTCTGAATGGTAAGTGTCAGCCATTTTTGACTCTTTTGTGGTAGTCTCGCCAGAAAGGGTGTATGTGGCAGGGGGGTAAATCGTGTTAATGTCATTAAGGCCTTGCTGACGTTTTCCATACTGAGGGCTCAGATGAACATCAGTATCTACAGACATAGAGACCACACATGCTGTTCACATAAAAGTGTTTCTTGAAGACTATTACTGCGGGCCTTGAGGACGTCCATAACCTCTCTGTGGGCTGTCAGTAATCCATAAGACAGATATGTTACAAGATCAATCGGGAGGATGCGCATAATAGTGGTTTGAAAATGAAAAGGCTTAATAGAAATAAATATAAGTAAGGGTGCCTTAGAAACCCCTGGATAATAAGCATTGACACAACCTTTTCTGTACCTCTCTTGGGAGCTTGATGATGACATTCAGTGCTACTGGGCCACAATGCCAGAGTGTCGTGATCCTCAGCATTTTCATTCCGTAGTAATCCTTCCCTGTTTCTGGGCTGCCAGTGCGGATCGGAGAAGGGAGGAAGGAAAGAATGCTGTGGATTTTTATGAAGCGAAAGAGGGAGAAAACCAAGTTCCTATCATCAGAATTTCTCAGGTTAGTGCTTGGAAAAGGAAAAAGAAAAGATGATAAGGAAGAGTAGGTAGAAAAATGATGAAATGGGGGAATTGACTGATCAGAATGATCTCAGGGTGACAAGACCTGGACTTAAGTCCCAGCCTCACCACTCTGTAGCCATGACCACACCTGAGCCCCTGAACTTCTTTGGGCCTCAATTTCCTCATTTATAAATTGCAAATAGCCACCCTACAGACCAGGCAGGATTGCCGTGGCTGTCATATCAGATGATGTGTGTGAAGTATTTTGTGAGCAACTTGCACAATTAGTTCTTGTTATGATCAAGGGAAAAAGGCATTATGGGTGGTCTTTTGGGTCCCATGGACTGGTGGCTCCCCAAATGGGGGCATCCAGCAAGTCACCTCCAGTTTCTGTGATCCCTGTGGGGTCATAACCTTGTGGTTCAAGAAACAATGCTGCAGACTTTTTTCCGGTCTTCTGTGTGCCCTTTGTCACTCTCATTGAAATCAGTTTGGCCTATGGGATG